CTCTGAGGGTAGCTGAGGGTGTGACAGCAGATACTAATGCGTCAGGAATTCTTACAAAGAAACGTCAAAATGGTCCACGACAAGTTCCAGAGGGAATGAAAAACTAGAATGTATGTGGTAGGCATTTCTTCAGATCCTTGCTGGCCAACACATCTGTGGTAGGAAAATAACGTCTTGCTGTCAGCCATCTAAATGTGAGGGGTAGTAAGCCCATCCTCATAGCTGTAGGGGTTACAAATAGCCGTTTAGTTGTTTGAGTGGGACAAAAGTATTTACAGCTCTGTCAGTGAGGGGCACCTGCTGGAATGTGCTGTCCAAAACACTTTTAGTGACAGTATTATCCCTTCTATTCTGTCGCTTAAACCATTTTTAATGCTTGTTCAGTGGGACATGTTGCTGACAGCTGTTTGTAATGTCAGGCTGTTTTCCTAAGATAGTGGGGGCAGTCTGCAGACACTGGGGCTGTAGTTTGGCAGTATGGGGGCTCCTGCTGCAGTACTGACTTTAAATCCAGCCTCTTGTTTCTGACTTAGTCTGGCAGTGCCGGTTTTGCTCAGCTTTGCTGCCGCAGTTATTTGTGGAGCCATGCTGTAAACTAGATCAGCGTGCTGATGCAGGTTAGAGTAACTCTTTCAAAACAAATGTGATCCGAGTCTACAAACTGTTTTGTTAGCGTACCTGAGGGCTGACATGCTTTGTCTTAGGCCTGGGTGTAAGTTACTTCTACATTCTAGAATACCACAGTAGCAAAGAAATACCAAGGAAAGCCTTTTCTGCATATCATGCAAAACAAAAGCTAGCAGCTGATGCTGCTACTGTAGTTTGGCAAGGTTTTCTTTCTCTGGCGGCACCCTTCTCATCAGGTGCTCACCCCAGATTTTGCTAGCAAAGCTGTTTGTCGGTCAGGCAGTGAGCCAGATCAAGAAATCAAACCGAGTTAAATAACACCTCTTCTTGGGGAGGGGGAAGAAAGTGGAGTTATTTTTTAATAACAATTCTTTGATCCAGTTCACTGTGCAGTATGAATACAGTTGAAGCATCAATGGAGAGGCAGGAATGAGAGGGACATGGGGAAGGAGAAAGGAGGCCGTTACTTAAGCTGGACCTACCACCAGAATAGATAGATACTTGTTGAATCACCTCCTCACAAAGTCAGAATGCTTAATGCCTTTTTTCACTTCTTGGGTTTAGTAAGGTGCTTGACACCTGCTCACCTGACATTTTCATAAGCGAGCTGGGAAAACTCTTAAGCTGGATCCAAAATTGGTTGGAGAACAGCACATGGAATAAAGGCTTGTCAGACTGGGAGGATGTGTTGTTGAGCAGGGTTTCTGGGAGGGATGGGGAGTTGGAAGGCCCGTGTCTGATACTATTCAGTATTTTTGGTAGTTTGAGTTAAACAAGGGAATGGTATGTTTAAGCTTGCTTTTATTAAGTTGTGAGGAGGGCAGGATTAGGACTCAAAATATTCTTGAAAAGCTGGAGAAAGAATATGGGGAAGAAAACGGACAAAGTTTCTGCGTTTTGGTAGGGCTAGTCAGTGGCATGAATTCAGGATGGAGGATAACCGGCTGCAGTGGTTCTGCAGGAGAGGATTGGCTTTTTGTGGTTTGTGAGCTAAACGCAAGTGAACAGTGTTACACACGTTATGCACGCGAAAAAAGGCAAACATCTGGGACAGACTGGGACATATAACTGAGAAATGTTATGAAATAATCATTCAGCTCTATTAAAAGCTGATAAAGCCTAGGCTGGAATATGTGTCCAGTTTTGGACGCTGTATTTCGAGAAAAGTGTGGATCTGATTGGAAGAAGTCCAAAAGAAAGCAATAAGTGATCAAAGGTCTTTGAAACTTTAAGGAAAGGTTGAAATAAGTGAATCTGGTCCTTTTAGAGAGCAGAAGATACTAGGAAAACTGAAGGTTTCAAATACATAGGGATAGATGCAAAGAAGAGAATAAATTCTTCTCTGTGCTTATGACAGGTAAGGCAAGAAATAATGAGTATAAACTGTAGGAAGGGAAATGTAGGTTAGTCATTCAGAAAGACTTTCAAATAGTAAGGACATCTAAGCACTGGGATAATTTCTCTGGGGACATAATATTGCATTTTTCATTAGAGGTCTTCAAGAACAGGTTGGACAAACTTCTGTCAGGAATAGTTTAGTATATTTTATCCAGTCTGAGCAGTCAGAAAGGATTAGTTGCTTGGAGTCTCTTCACCTCTATTTTCTGTTGTTGTAACTGCGGCTGTAGGCACCAAGGGCCGGTGGATGTGGTACCTGGGTTAGTGGTAGAAGTGACTGCCCTGTGCCTACCTCTGTGCGTCCTGCTGGAGGTTACCCCTGCTGCTGGTCTGCCAGCTAAGCTTCTCATTTGCGTGCCCAGCCATAATGAGCCAGAATGCCTGATATAACTGAAAACAGTAGAGCGTTGTCAATATGGATAATTTTGAGTGAAGTGGATAAAGAAGCAGTCAGGTGAGCAACCCAGCAGGCGAGGGGGGAGCAGGAATTATTCGACAGGGATGAGCGCCAGGCGGCTGGGAAGGCCCATGGTGGGAGTTGGAAGAGGGTGTGTTTCCGCGCTTTGGGCTTCCTTGGAGAGTTAGCTCAGGGTCTAAACTAGACAGTGGCCAGGCAGCCTGTGTCTTATGGCTTCAGCTTTCTTCGCTGGGTATTGTTTTTTCCGTTTGCTGTAGTGAAGTTAACTGAGATGTTCCACATCTCCACAGCGATGTGGTTGTTTGAAGGCCAGAAAAACGCGCAGGGCTTAGTTAAGTTTGGCTGGAGTATGATTTTACAATAGACACCCGCTTCTGATATGTCAGCCCCATCCTAGATTGCCGAGGGAAGCAGTGAAGGATTTGTGCCCTCTTGACATTTTCAGAGGTCGTCCTCTGTCATGTTGCCAGCCCAGAGAGCTACAAACCAGTGCTTGTTTCCAGGGGACTAGTCATGAGAGAGATTGAAATTGTTCTTTGCAAGGTTCCTCCCCTAGCACTTTTGCCTTACTTACTATTTAATGTGTATTTGTTTTGGGAGAGGGAGAGGTGGTCGTTTTTCACATGAGAAATCTTTTCTTCTTGCTTTATTCCTCTGTATTCAAGATTTTTCCCGGACTGCCTGTGAAATCAGCTGAGCTGCTGCAGTTGGCTTTCCTGGCCATTTGTTATGGTCAGGAAAATGTCACTTAAAGTTCATGTGGTGCCTCATACTGACGGCAGATGTAGGGAGGAAGGGGAGAGCAAAGAATTACTGCAGTGCCTGCACATTCTAGTGGTGGCGAGCTTTTCAGAACTCAAGATCAGGCCTGCTTTGCTCGTCTCCTATGGAGATTTTGATATTGATTTATGTTTTACATGGTACCTGTGCCCCAGTGTACCTGAGCTTAAAAGTAAGTTTTAATTGCACTTTTCTATTACATGCACCCAATGAAAGAAAGGCGTGTTAAAGTGCAATGTTCACTCACGCATATTCACAAGCAGTCTATGTAGCTTGAAAACAGCGTTTCCCAGTTTGATTTGCTGCTTGCCATTCATCGAAGTGTGATGGTGAGACTACCCAGGAATTGATGTTTCAGCTGGCCAGTGAATTTTTTTTATACTAGTTTTTCAGTTATTGTGAAACCAGTTATTTTGGTTTATCCCAATCAGTGCGCTCCCGTTTGCCAGTTTGCCTAACTTTCTCTGGTGATTTCTCAATAATCAGATAATATGAAACTATCTTTAATCTGAACAAGAACTGTTTGTCCCATCATTGTAGGGATTTGTATGCTCACTCACTGTGGTTATTTCTCAATGTAGTTATTCTATAAATTATTCTTCATTTATTTCTATAGTCTAAATCTCACCTGACTGCACAAGTGTAGATTTCTGACTTCAGAAGACTTGCAACTTGTCTGTAAAGCTGAAGTTTTTTTTTTAACTGTGCTGTTCAGCCTGATGGTAATTTAAAAACTCCATCAGGCAGTTTTAAGTATGAGTATTTCAGAACTATGAAAGGGAATGAGTTGTGCTCCCTTTGGTCAGGTGTGAATACAAACCAAAATGTGATTGTTTTAGAAACAAGCTGCTTGTGGATTTGGGAAAACTGTAAGGAACTAGTGACAGTCCTCATTGCTGAGACAGAAGTAATGTCACCCTCTTTTTCCAGTTCTGCTGTGGGACGTGAGCTTTGTGTGTTCCACAGGAGCCAGGCAGAGTGAGAGATTCCTCCAGGGTTAGTACGGTCCTGGACAGCAGAGGATCAGTTTCTTAAAACATGATCCGTTTTGGCCCTGTTTGTATACTAGGCTGAAGAGGGAGAGGAGGTCTGTTATAGGGAGAGCTGCTGCGAATTCCTCAAGTTTTGCTTATCTGTCAACAAACAGATGTACTTTCCTGTCCAAGTGTTCCTGTTCTCATGATAGTTTCCCTCTTACACGTGGGAGCACAATATATATGTCCCACTGCGGACCGACTGAATTTGTAACCGGCCCGTGCATGTACACAAAACACAGGTGCAGATTAATGCGAGGCTTGCAACTTCCTATGACATTACATGGTGGTAGAGAAGATTTACAGTTCATTAGGGTCTTCCTCCATCCTTCCAGTCATTTCATATACCTCTTCAGCGTTTCAGTGCCAGTCACTTACTTAAGGATCCTGGATGTTTTACTCCCTGCTGAAGCTTGTAAAAAGCTAGTTTTGGGGGGCTAGTTTTGACTCATGTTCTTGGGCCCCACTTTGCGAACAGTGGTCAGTTCAACTGGAAACGCAGCCCATATTATTCTTTTCAGCAGCCCACAAAAAGTCCAGGTCAGCTCCTGTAGCTCCTGTGCTGTCAAATGGAGTATGTCAATTCACGTTGCTTTATACCAGCTGGAGATCTGGTCCAGTGTGTTGAGAGATGCAGAAGGCAATTGCTGCGGTGTATTTGTTAACTTAGTTGGCCTGAAAGAACATGCAGTGAAAGAACTTCATCATTCTAATTCGTTCTCTAAATGTTTCTCTCTCAACAGCTCTGAAAAGTCCAGCTGCATTTCATGAACAAAGGAGGAGTTTGGAACGGGCCAGGGTAAGATACAGTACGCTCTTTAAGGTTTTGAGGAAGTCAGTAGTGGTAGGCCTTATTATACACTGGGCATCCTGTAGCTGCTAGTGAGATGCAGAGGGGAATCCTTCTTATTCTGGATGCAATACCTTGCTAAGCAGCCAGAGGTATGTAGGGTGGGGTGTTTTTCTTTAGTTTATATGCAGTGGTGGTGGTCTCTGTGAACTAGTCCTCTCCCTAAGAGCCATTGAAGACAGCGACTAGTTTTTCCCTGGAGTCTTCTTTTTGGAGATCACTGATATTCTTCTTTCCCACCATCCATATACTTAAATGGTCGTTTTTATGGTGTCTCTTTTGCCCTTAAATGCTCCTACTGTGTGGATGCCATTGAAGTGGGTGATTTCCAGCTTTGAGCAAAGTGTATAGTTTCTCTGTTACATACACATGCTCTCGTTTATTTAGGGCCCTAGAAATTGAAGATTTAATAGCGAAGATCCCAAAATCTTGTGAAACACTAGAATCACACAGACTCCTGGCTCTTGAGAAAGAGGAAGCCAGGCCTGAAGTAGGCGACCCATTTCATGCTGCACCTTCTCCGACTGGGGGTTTCTTGATTTCTGTTCCTCAAAAGGCCTCTGGGGATAGTATTTTTTCTGACTAGCCTACAGGGAAATAAAACCGGTTACGGCTGTTTGGCTGAGTTTTGTTTTAAAAATGAAAACAATATAAAACTAAAGATAAAACAGCTGTAACTGAAACCTATCAGACAGTGCTAGCACTTTAAACTCTGCAGAAGGACTGGAACAATGCACTTTGCATAAAAAGCAGCATCCCAAAGGTTTTTGTTTCTTCCTTCTCTTTTTTCTAAAACCTTCTTATGAATATTTTGAATTCTTAGTATTTTGGTGCAGGCAACTGAGCGAGTGCGGCATGTTTTTTTGATAGACTTTAATATTTATTTTCCCTAAGGGTTCTGGTGGCTAGTGCCTATCAGTCTGTTACCCACTACTCCTGGATTCCTGTTCCTGGGATGAGTAAATGGTAACGTGCTCATCTCAGGCAGGATCATCTCTGTACATTGCTCTGTAGTGCATTCTCCAAAGGCAGAGCTAAAAGCAGCTCTGGAAACCAAATGGCGCTTGTGAAAGCATTTAGATTGTGCCTGCCAAGGGAGTGCATGGGGTCTTTTAACAAATGACATGTCTTTAAACAAATAAAGAAGTAGGCCCAAACCACAAGTCAGGCCCAAATACCAGTAGCATGTATAAGTATTTCTGTAAACAGTGGAACCAATGCACCTAAATTTAATATAAAGAGAAAAGTCTGGAATGTCACTCTAACACAAGCTAGTGGTGCTGCATAAATGGAAAAAGAGGGCTTCAGCTCTTGAGGAGGTCCTTTCATGTTTCTGTTCTGCAGGGCCGGCAGTGCGTTCTTATACTGATGGGATGTGCAGTAGAAGGTCATCTTTAGAATAAACTCATTCTGTGGGTGCTCTGGGACAGAAGATATCTCCCTTTTCTGTTCAGTGTTTATTTAGAACTTAGTAACAACGAAAAGTGATTGTTTGTCTTGTTTGTGCTGCCCAAAATTACCTCACTCCTGTGTCTGATCAACTGAAATCGGTTCTTGCTCTTGTGTGTTTTTGCTGCAGACAGAGGACTATTTGAAACGGAAAATCCGGTCCCGGCCAGAGAGATCAGAGCTGGTTAGGATGCACATTCTGGAAGGTATAGTATACACTAAACAGGAAGACTTCAACAATAAAATTTGTTAAGACTACTTATTTAACATCTTTCTGTTTTGCCTCTCGCCCCCAAATCTTTCTTTTAATTAGGAGAGGGCAGAAGGTTATGCCTGCTGCATGGTTTCTAGGGAGGGATTCATCTCTCCTTGCATGGCCTTTTTGATTTTCAGAAGAATCTGTCACGTAGACTCAAATTATGCAGTTTTGTGCGGCCGAGCAACAATAAAATGGAATGAGCGTGGATTGGTCTTCTGATAAGAGAAGACACTGTAAAGTATCTGAATGGGAGTGAGGAAGATTTGATACGGTGAATATATACCTCATTTTCAGAGAGGAAATACTCTGCTGCTGCCGAGTACCACACCTTTGGACACAACTGAAAGGGGAAAAGACGAATGAGGATCAAGTGCAGTGAATTTGTCCTATTCTCGATTCATCGGAGCTATTATAGTTATCTTATAGCTTCAGTATACACAATATCTGTAAGATATGTGTAATATTTTTATATTGTAAGTTATCTGTTGTTCTCTGCAGGTGATTTTTCTATACAGTTTTCTACAGTTACCTTTCTGAACAGAAGTGAAATTCTGCTGAAGTGCATAGGTTGACCATTGCTGGACTGATGCCATTTTCTTTACTTTCCCTGAGCAGAGACCTCAGCTGAACCCTCCTTGCAGGCTAAGCAGCTGAAGCTGAAGAGAGCCAGGCTGGCTGATGACCTCAATGAGAAGATAGCACAGAGGCCAGGTCCCATGGAGCTTGTGGAGAAGAACATCTTGCCTGTGGAGTCCAGCCTGAAGGAAGCCATTATAGGTAAGGCCGGAGGAGGACTTATTTTGAGAGCATTTCCCATACGTGGCCGTGATTTTCTGTTCGTTCACCTGCCTGCTTGAGGGAGTGCAATCCCATGGTCAGTCTTGTTTTCTGGTCTCGGAGTCGCAGCCTTTTAGCCCAAGGGTTCGAAAAGCAGAACTCCTTCTGACTCAAATAATAGTACAAAGACACTAAATTGTAAGTAGTGTGAACATCGCAGAATAGTGTGAAACCAATCCCAGGCCCTCAAGACTTGAAAGACTGTTGTAGGTTGCATTCCCTAGATTCTCTCCTTAAAAATCCCTATCTGCATATAACACATCAGCAGCTTTGGTCAGGGAGAGCCCGCTGACACTCAGAGCAGGGAGAGGAGACAGAATATAAACAGGTGTGATGAAACAAAAGCTGTCTGTGGACTAACAATCTTCAGAGGATTCAACCCCTTTAAAAATAAACCAGAACAGATGTAAATCATGCCAGTGCCATTCCAAGGGCTGAAAGGAATGCCTTCCCACTGCCTGAGCAGTGCTCTCTCCCATCTCCCCAGATTGAGCAGTCTGTGCTTCAAATGCACAGAGCTACTTTAGAGACAAATGGGACACAACTGTGAGCGAAGGTGCATATTTTTCAAGAAAAAGGGAAAGGACAGTGATATGGGAGAGCCTGCCTTCACTATTGCACAAGAAATAGTTGAGAAAGAGAAAGAGTGAACTTGTGAACTGAAACATGCGAGGTGTGGCATCTTTCTGAGATAAAGCACGTCGCATCTCTCTGGATTTCTGTTGCTCCTGTGTTAAGTGGGAATGATAGTATTTTCCTGCTTACAAGGATTTAAGATAATTTGTTGCTTATGGGACATGTAGATAAGTCAGAAATACTAATATCAGTCAAGGTCACCACTTTTGACTTAGTCCATAGCCCTTGTTGCTTACAAGGTTTAAGTTCTCAATTTGGGCAGAGTTAAGTAGCTTGTGTTTGTGTCATTTTATTATTTTTATTTCACTGAGAGCAGAGATGAGTATAAACATTTACAGTGGGTCCAGTCTGGGCTTTGTTCTCCCATTTTAACTTGGTACTTTAATTAAGCACAACTCAGATATTTCTCTCTCCCTGCCTTCTTTATCTTTGCGAAACATTTAGCGTCAACTGAAATAATTTCTTCCTCCACTTCAAAGTCCACAACTGGTGTTTGTGTTTGCAGTTGGACAAGTGAACTACCCGAAGGTTGCAGACAATTCCTCTTTTGATGAGGACAGCAGTGATGCCCTCTCCCCAGAACAGCCAGCCAGCCATGAGTCCCAGGGCTCTGTCCCATCGCCAATGGACTCCCGGATTTGTGAGCCTCTCTCTAACACCACTGGCACATCACTAGCTCAGGTGAGAATGCAGTGGGCCTGCTGTGGTGCCCTGGAGCTTTGCAACTACTGCCGATTTGAAAAGTGAGGCCTAGAGATCCGTGAAATGTCACTGCTGGAGAACAGTTCATGAGATTTCACAAGGAGTCTTAGCTCTGTACGGTATCAGTGAAGCCCTCTGTTCAGAAGTCCCTGAGGTGGTGACGTGGGGAAGTGGGGAGGGCAATGGTTACTGGTGATGTGAGCTGTGTCAGTGTGTCTGATTCGGGCAGGCAAAGGTCAAAATATAGGGGTGGTATTTTGATTCTTTTTCTGTCCCGAGTTTTTGTGCTGCTCCTCAGGGACAACTGAAGCAGAGGGTTGAAGGAGTCTTAATTAATGGCTTATAACCTGTGCAGCTTTCCATTAAGTAGACGTTTCCCACCGCTCTGTTAAAGTGTTTCCCTTCTCATTAGTTTATGCCTCATGCCCTTTTCTGTTCCTGCAGGGTACGTCCCAATTGCAGATTAGTGCAGACTCCAACGAAACGCTTTTCCTACCTGAACAGCCACCCCCACCTCTGCCACCTCCTCCTCTCCTGCCCCCTAATCTTACCAATGGAGCGGCTCTTCCTGCTGCCAAGCCCACACCAACTCTCATTAAGGTACCATTTGGACCGATTTCTTCATTGCTGTAGTCTGAAATAAATTAAGATGGCTGCTCCGAGGAGGGATTGGGGTTCGAAGTATTATGCTAACAGATGCTAAGGAAGGAAGACTTATTACTCTCTAGTGTCTTCGTCTGACACTGTTTGTAATATATTTAATAGATTCTCCTGTTCCATGACGTATTCACCTACTGTAAAATGGTCCTGAATGCAAAATCTTCTGAAACGGTCGGCATTATCGGTAATTAGAGATGATGAGTCTAGACTGGATGGACAATTGGCCTGGTGTACCGAGAAAGATGAATGGCCTTCTGTCTGTGACCTGGCATTCTGGTGCTATGAAAGCTGTTGTGGATGCATTGCCAAAGTTAGAGAAGCATGGAAAGACCCTGAGGTTAAATGTGGAGAATTTTCAAATAAAAATCCCAGCTTGCTTTCTGGCTTACATGGGGTGTAGTGTTATTTCAGTGTTTCCATTCTTATTTGCTTCCTCCTTTTCTTCTGAATAGCAAAGCCAACCCAAGTCTGCTAGTGAGAAATCTCAGCGCAGTAAAAAAGCCAAGGAATTGAAGCCGAAAGTCAAGAAGCTTAAATATCATCAGTATATCCCCCCGGACCAAAAGCAGGACAAAGGAGCTCCTCCCATGGATTCATCCTATGCCAAAATACTGCAGCAGCAGCAGCTCTTTCTCCAGCTTCAGATCCTCAACCAGCAGCAGCAGCAGCACTACAACTATCAGACCATCCTGCCAGCGCCACCAAAGTACGGGTCCTGTATGCCACCTCTCTGCTTTGGGACCCTGTTGTGCTGCAGATCCTTCATCACTCTGTCAGCTCTGCCAGTGGGGAAGACCCTACATCTTAGGAAGGACTTGCTTCCCCAGTCCTGCTATCAAACACATCACGTTCTGGGTGTGAGGTGTGGGAACTGGGTGTAGCCCACTCAATCCTGTCGGGTTACAGTGGGCCTCAAAAGGGCTGATGTCAGGTGAATCAGACAAAAGTAACTCAAATGAGGTGGTTGACAGAGTACGGGAGAATGGATATAGTCAGAGGCATTGGCAGGTCTTAATGTCTAGGGTGGTACGAGTGGCACACGTGCTTCTCTGCAGGCACATGTTTGGAGACATAGATAAAGATATAGATATATCTGTATATCTATATATCTATATCTATATCTATATGTATATCTCTCTCTCTCTCTCTCCTTGAGTGATTTCTGCTGCACTGAGGGCCTCCAATGCCTTTCCACCTCAGTTGCGATGCCTATCCTTTTTCTTTCCCTCTGCAGGCCTCCAGGTGAGCAGCAGAGTGGTACCAGCGCCCCTGCAGTACGCAATCTCTCTGCCACAGTCAGCACCACATCTTCAGTATCGTCCGGTTCCAGTGGGCTGATGCGACAAAACAGTAATGCTGCAGTGGGCAAGCCGGGCCCTCTCCCTGCCAACCTAGATGAGATGAAGGTAAATGTTGGTGCTGCTGTCAGTGCTGGGAAACTGCACAGCCCTTTTTTTGCCACTGTCAGCAGAGCAGTGAGGATTGAATGGTGTGGCTGCTTGCAGGGAAGGGCTGAGGTGGACTGACCAGAGTTTGTGATAACAGCTGGCATTGCTCCCCTGCAGTGCATTCCTGAGGTGCAGGTCTGTTGGCCTGCAGGGGGTCAGTTTAGTCCTTTGCCCCGTGATTCTGGTGGCTGTTAATAGTTGTTCTGGTTAGAGCATGTGTTCTTTTGATGTTACCGCCTCTTTTTCCCCTGATCAGGTGGCAGAGCTGAAGCAAGAGTTGAAGCTGAGGGCCTTGCCTGTCTCGGGCACAAAGACGGACCTGATTGAGCGTCTCCGAGCTTACCAAGAGCAGAACAGTGCAGCTGGCCAAACAGCCCCTAACCCGAAACCCAGCACAGCAGCCATTCTCCCCAAAGCTGCCGAAGTGGTGGTGGCCTTTCCAGCTGCTAGGCTGAGCACAGGGCCAGCCCTGGTCACCACTGGCATTGCGCCAGCAGAAGTAGTTGTGGCCACGGTCACCAGTGGCGGCGTGATGAAGTTTGGCAGCACAGGCTCAACTCCCCCTGTTTCTCCTACTCCTTCTGAGCGCTCACAGATTAGCACAGGGGATGAGAACTCGGCCACCGGAGACACCTTTGGGGAGATGGTGACTTCTCCCCTGACCCAGCTGACCCTGCAAGCATCTCCAGTGCAGTTCCTGGTGAAGGAAGAAAGCTCCAAGGCTGCCTCCTGCAGTGTAAGCGCGGCACCCAGGTCAGAGCGGTGCAGCACTGGTAACAGCAGAGACACAGAAGTTCGGGACAAAGACCAGATGCTGCAGGAGAAGGACAAGCAGATCGAGGAACTCACCCGTATGCTGAAGCAGAAGCAGCAGCTGGTTGAGATGCTTAGGTTACAGCTAGAGCAGGAGAAGCGCTCTCAGCAGTCACTAGCGGCCCCAGCTGCTGCAGTAGAAGGAGCAGCCCTTCCCTCCAACCCAGTAGCATTCGGCATCCAGGTCAAGAGTGAAAACGGTTTCCTAAGTTGCCAGTCTGCAAAGCAATCCAGTGGCCAAACAGACCAATTCAGCCCTGCACCAACCGCTAGCCAAATGGACACTTCGGATCCAAGCACAGTGCCAAAGAAAGCCGTGATGGTGAAGCAAGAGGTGCCAGCCACGGAAGCAGAGCCGCCATGCCAGTCCCACAGCCCGCGGCTTTTCCTTGGCCAGCCAGGGAGCGCCCTGAGCGACCTCATCAAGGGTACCCCTCCCCCCACCCTCATCACCAATTCCACAGGGACCCACATCGTCCTCACCGTGACCAAGCAGAGCGCCGAGAGGCAGGGCCTCTCGCCCCACGGGAAGGCGGGGAGTAGCTGCCCAGCCTTGCAGGTAGGCAAGCGTTGGGTTGCTTCCCCACTGTGGCCAGCTGGGTTCTTCTGTCCCTCCTCCCACTCATCATGCAGGGGTTCAGGTTACCGTAGGATGACTTCACGCATTGGAAATTCAGTGCAGTAAATAATAAAAGAAAAGGCTAGGTTGCTTGCTGTGATAGCTCATAGTTTGTAGCTTTGTAGAACAGAGCAATGTAAGCAAATTTTCAGCAAAAAGACTGGAATTTGACACTGGTGAACCCTGTACAGCAGTGCAAGATTGACTTTGTACCTCACAGGCTGTTAGCATTCTTTCCAAACACATGGTTCTGCCTTTTTTCAGGCAAGATCTTGTGCTTGGTGGGCTCGTGTTTGCTGCCACATCGCACTCTAGTTTTCAGAAGTGTATTTCACCTCTTGTTCTTTAATGTAAATATTGTAGTTGGAGTGCTAGATTGCCCTGTCTATCGAGAGCTGAAATCAGACCATGGGGGCAGCCTTTTTGCTTTTTGACTGCTCTTTGTTTTAATGTGTGTCATTCTGTAAGTACTGGCAGAGTCCTTTGTAAGAGATGATCTACTGTTCCCCTCTTGGCATGAATTCAGCACTTAACAGAAATGTTCTAAGTGTTTCTTCCAGGAAGAGATAAATATGCCCAGGCTTTATGACATAAGTCAAACCCCAGCATCTTCTATGGTAGCAGAAGAGATTTTTATTGTCTGCTGCCACATTTCCTGCACCTTCTGCAGAGCAGCTGGCAGTGGCCACCATCAGGTGCTGAACAGGCTATATTTTCTGTGCGTCAGGTGAGATGGGATTCAGTGGTCAAAATACAGGCATCCTGTGCCACCCTCGATACCCCAGGGTATCTTTACCTGAACTCCAGCTGCTGCTCCAGAAGAGCACAGGTCAATGATAAATCCTGTGTCAGATCTGCCAGCCCTAGAGGGGCCTAGGGATTTAGAGTGGTACTATCTCCTCATTTAGGCCACTGAATCCCACCCCGGTCTGATTTCTCTGCTTGGTGAAACTGAGCATGACTGGCCGAATTTCCTAAAGAATAAAGAGTGAGAAAAAAAGATTTCATAAATCCTTTAGGAAACCTAAGCCTCGCTCCATGTTGTGTCTGGGAAGTAGCTTCTCACTGATATCCTTTTCTTTGCAGAGAGTACAATCATCGCCCACTAAAACTTCCAGCCAACCGCAGTGTCAGCTACCTGCAAGCACCCCTCAGCAGCCCACACAGCAGCAGCAGCAGCCCACAAAGCAGCAGCCCAGAGGACTAAACCAATCTGTCAGAAAGGTAGCTTGCCATCTGCCTGTATTTCTCCCTTGTTTCCTTTGCCTGCCGTCAGGGTTTGTAGCGGTGGTGGGAAGGGAACACGCATGCACAGTGCAGGTCAGAGACCATCATCACAGCAAGAGAGATCTCACAACTGCCTCTGCCACAGCTTGCAGCTGCATGGGGTGTTTTCAGCTTGAATGTGGCAGCAGAAGGGGTACCTGGCATAACATCTCCATTCCCCTATCTTCTGCTGAACTAGCTGTGCTCACCTTCAGTTTTCAGGAGTGCTAAGCATCCATGTGGCGTTGCCCGAGAGCACTTGTGGAGGAGCTCTGGAGACTTTACAGCAAAGAGTTGTGGGCTAAACCCTGACAATTGACTACCTTCTGCCTTTTAGTCCACACACCAGAAATACGACCAGCTGGTGTTTTGAGCAGGCATTTTCTGTCAATTTAAAACAATGAGAGGCCAGAATGGGCAGCCTTGGTTTGCAGTAGTGCCCCCTACTCTTGAAGTATTGCTGTTTAAATTCAAAGGTGGTTACTGTGTGGAGAGAGCCTGCCAGAGGGTGGTGTGAGCAGTATGTCTGCTATTGAAGGTGGGATATGAGCTCTGAGAGGGGCAAAAAGATGGGACCTTTTAATGTCCGGTCCTGATGAGCCTTGCTGAAATGTCAGTTCCTGTGCCTCGAGCATACCTGATAATTATGTCCTTGCGAAGTGCAGTGCAGATTCAAGCTGTACTGACAGCTGTAAAGAGACCTTGCTTATGATTCTCCTCCCATTCTAGCCCAGATCAGGGATGACATAGCGCTCTCTATGACATATAGTCAAGATAAGACACAGAAAGATTATGAAGAGTTTTCAGAGCTTGGAGGATCACTTTTGAGTCAGATCCTGAAACGAACATGAAGACAGTAGTTACTCCTAGCGTAGTCCTGTGGGATAGGCACTTTGCGAAGGGTCAGTGCTTTGGGTCCCTTTTAGGCTTTTGATGAAATGCAGAGGGTTAACAAAGGCACCTTTCTCCCTCAGACTCCTTAGACTGGTGGCAGTCTGTGCCTGACCTTAGCTCATGCGCTGTGGAGGCATCTGTAGTGACTCTCCTAATCCTTTTGCCTCCCTGTAGGGTCAGAAGCCAGGCCTGCAGGTGGTCACGGGGCAGCTGCCCCACACCATATTGTCTTTCTCAGCACCTCCAAGCCTGCAGCCCTTCTTCCTCAACGGTTTCCACAAAGGGTCCCTGAAAACTGGTGCTCCTGGCAAAACCGGCCAACCCAGTGTGCCAAAAAAGGTACCCTCCCAGCAAATCCCGGCGGCCTGTGCCACAACGCCAGTTTCCAGCCCCTCTCAGGTAGAGAGAGCAGACCCCCGAGGAGCACTGCAGGGACCTGGGGTCACTCCTGTACACGCAGAACCGATGAAAAGTTTTCCAGGGAAAACGGGATGAGGAGGAGCAGCAACACGTACAAGTTTTGGAACTGGAATTCAGCTAATGTCCAGGGTTCATTGCTTCAATGGAGCAAGCTTCAGTGTGGTCTCTTGTAACCCCTATAGAAGCAAAGGCCTGGTCCATATTTTGATGTTTCTTACAGGCAGTTGCTTGCTGACTCATCTGGTGAAGCTGAGTCACTAGCACCACTTCCTGCAACACTTTGGGTTTCCTTTGGAGGTCTCTGGTGCTTCTGAGCACTCTGGTGCTCCCCGCCCACCTTCAGGTTGTGATATTTGCTGCTAATGATGCCTGACTCTGTCCCCAAAGCAGGCGCTGTAGAGAGAGATGGGTAAAAAGATAGATAGGTTCTAGCCTATATTGCGCAGAGTAGGCTGAAAGCAGTTTGGGAAATGCCCTTCTCTCTCCAAAGTATTAGAGGAATCTCCCACTTGGACAGATGAGGCTCTCCCCATCCAGGAGCACTTCTGGTGGTGGTTTGTGGCATGTTTGCTGTAGCATTAGAAAAATCAAGGTTTCAGCAGAAGGTTTTGAGCTGTGATTTGGAGGGGAAGTCTGTCTCGCTGCCCCACAGTCAAGGCGTGAGTGTATGGAGTACACGGAAGAAGCTAGGCTGTTGGGAGCAGAGCAGTGCAGACTGCTGTGCAGCACTTGCCAAGAGATGGGATGATGGTCTCTCAAAGCAGCTGTGAGACTGGAAGCTGATGTGGGCTTTCCCCCACTCACTCCTTCCACCTTCGTTCCAAACAGCCCTCGTCACAGCCCAGCTCTCCTGCTGCCCGTTCCCCATCCCAGATGGACCTGGAGCAACAACAGCACCCGTCGCTTTTTGGAACTCCTCCACCTCCTCTCCCTGTTCCCTCGGTCCCAATGAAAGAGCCTCCAGGCTATGAAGAGGCGATGAAGCAACAGCCAAAAGCCCAGGAGGTGAGAGCAGTCCTTTCCCCTGGCTTCTTTGGAGAGCGTGTGAAAAGGTGCTGTTGTAAATCCATTTAGACTCCCAGTCTGGGCAAGTAATAGGAAATGGAAACACAACAGGCCTTTTCTAACTGAGCCTTCCTGTCTGAAGTCCTTCTGGAAGGTATGGGGAGGATCCCAAACCACAGTTAAAGGTCCCAAACCACTCGCCTCCTGATGAGTGTTAGTATAGCAGTTGCTAAATATACCTTCCTACGGCCTGGGGTTATGGAGGAGTCGGGTGCCGTGCCTCTGTGCGCTTATTCTTGCTGGGAAGAGCCCAATCACCGGGGTGAGGGAGGAGAGCCAGCAGCCAAAGGGGCTGCTGGAGGTGGAAACTCCTGTGATAAGCAGGAAGCTGATCTTGTGCTCTCTTCCCAGGAGAATGGCTGTTCCAGCCAGCAGATGGACGACCTGTTTGACATTCTCATCGAAAGTGGGGGTAAGGAGACAAACCCAGCGTTTCCCATAGTGAGCCTGGCTTTGAGCCTGGGGCTTGCGGAGCACTGAGGGGATAGTGCAACATGTGTGTCATGGCCCAGGCCTTTGCTCCTGGTTCCTTGGTAGTGTCTTCAGCATTGACAGGCAGTCATTAAGGCACTGAGGGACATGTCAATCAGGTGTTAGCATAATATAAAGCTTCTTGGTGGCTCTGCTGCACTGGATTTGGGCACCTCTCTTCTGTGATGCTGGCCAAAGCCTGAATCCCTCTGAGGAGAGCTGAAAACCCCTAAGCAAGCTGAAGGGCTTCCTTATGCCAGTCCGTGGTCAGTGATGGCTCAGGGTGTGGGGGTCCTTGTTGCCGTGGTGGGTGGGAGGGATCTTTCCTGTGATCAGCAGAGCTTTTCTTCACCCTGGCCTGCGTGCTTGTTTCCTGTACAGAGATTTCTGCTGACTTCAAGGATCAGTCATCGCCAGCTGGGAAAGAACCATCTGTGGCCCCAGCCTCCTCCTCGCCGCCCAGCAGCCACCATTCCTCAGAGCTGGCGGTGCCAGTGTCACTGGGGCAGCCAGTGCCCGTGGGCCGGCTGGAGGACTTCCTGGAGAGCAGCACTGGCCTCCCCCTGCTGACAGCAGGCCACGATGGGCCAGAGCCTTTGTCCCTGATTGATGACCTCCACAGTGAGATGCTGAGCAGCTCGGCCATCCTGGACCACCCGCCTTCACCAATGGACACCTCGGAATTGCACTTTGCTCACGAGCCGGCCGGGGGCATAGCCCTGGATCTGGCTGAGGCTAACTTGGACAGCATGGACTGGCTGGAGCTGCCGGGGGGGCCTGTCATGAGCCTGGCTCCCCTTAGCACTGCTGCTCCCAGCCTCTTTTCCACAGACTTCCTTGATGGACATGATCTGCAGCTGCACTGGGATTCTTGCTTGTAACTCTGTGAGCAGAGACTGAAGGGAATGGGTGTGGGAGGGCACGGGCGCGTGGTGGGGGGAAGAGGCCAGTCAGCCAAAAAAAAAGAAAAGCAGCTCCTAGTATTTGTACTCCTCCCCCAACAGTGACCTTCCTGCGTGAAGCCGGCAGCCCGGCAGCAAAGGCAGACCTGCTGCTTGAGTCACTGCTGCCAGGGCAGTGGGCAGGCTGGGCAGGGAGAAGGGCTGCTGGAGGGGGAGAGCTCTGGGGCTGGCGGCCTCCTGCCCCTCTCCCTGCAGCCTGCTGGGAGCTGGGGTGAGAAGGGAGCCAGCGCCCGGGGTGGCATGCCGTAGGGTGGGAGCTCTGTCATGCCTCGCAGCATGACGTGGTGTGACTGGGCCTGTGTCCCCCGTCCCTGGGAAGCAGCGCCTCGCTCCGTGCCGGGATTGGCAAATAAAGGGGGTTTATGCTGTCCCAGGACAGTTGATTTAACGGTTGTGGAAGGGGATTCTACCTCTGGAGCGGTGCGTAAAGGAGGGGGCTTGCGGGGCTGGGAGTGCTGAAGGGCTGCCTGCTGCCCCGCGTGCCGTCTATAAGGGGCAGGGGGCAGGTCTGCCACAGGGCTGAGCGAGGAGTTAGGTGGAACAGGCACCTTGTCCCAACGTAGCCAAAGGGAACCAGGGTTCCCCACCAACCATGCTAACGTCTAAGCTGGTTTCCCACATATTGCTGAGCTTGGCAGAGGCCTGCCTACTTGCGACACTTGCTTTGGGCTGCAAAAGGTGCTAAAAATCCAGGTCCTTATATGTTAAATCTGTCTTTCGCTGCCTCAGACCTCTGGCTGTACCTGGAGCCCAAGCTTCGGGCACCCTCACCTTTGGCTTCCAGCTCATTCCCAGTCAGCTTGCTTGTGACAGCCCTGGGGTGCCCCACCCCCCAACCCCCCCAAACCCCCAAGCTGTTAGTAGCCCAGCGGTGGGCAGGGCCGGGCAGGG